CGTGGTGAGTGTGAGGTCTGGGGGTGGGCAACCTTGAGTTGGGGGTTGGCTTGAACTGGGGTTTAGGGCATCTGCTTCTTACTCCGGTCCGAGGGATTTAGGGCTGGAGCCTATACGTGTGTTTTCCAGGAAAGTGATTTAACAGAGAATATCCGAGGTCCTTTCTACTAGATTTCCACTCATTCAAGTTGAGGGGATTGAGGAAGGGGTCAGAGGACTCATCTCGTTCCTATAATCAGCTGGCTAGGAGGAAAAATTCTCTCACGGTCTTCTGAGGCCCAGAACTATGTGTCTTCCTTCAGATCACTTGGCTGAAAACTCTCCAGCAAAGAGCAGAGGAATGACGAAGTGGGGGCGGTGGGTCACCGTCCATAGGGGCTTTATAAGAACTGCTCAGGTGGCAGCCCTTCTCTGGCCAAAGATAACCTTGCTGCCCTCTCCTCACTGCCCCCTCTGTTGGGCATGTGCATCTGCGGGAGAGGTGGACTGTCAAAAATAAAATTATATAGTAATTACTGGAGTTGGAGGAGGAGGAGTCTGGGGGTGGCAGACAGCTGAGTTCTTTTGTTCTCACCCCTCTCTGGGAGAATGGTCTGTACCTATTGGAAAGAGGAGTGTTGTAGGAAAGCAGATGGCTAACACCCCCCCCCCCCGTTTCCAGTATCTGCCCAGATGGCCGCCCCCACCCCCATATCTTTGCTATGCTCAGGGTATGGGGAACCTCCACATGGAACTGAATGAGTACAGGCCTTGGAGCCAGGTGTTTACCGTCCTTCCACTCCAGGGTGCCCTTTGCCAAGATGTCTATCCTGGCTACTTCGAGTGAGGGTTGGCAAAGGAGGGAACCCTGGAAGACAGGGTCTGCACACCGTGGAGGGGGCAGGCTGGGAGTTCCCCTAGGACTCGGAGTCTGGAGCTGGGACAGCGTCCATCAACTGCTCTTTTTCTTCTCATTAGAATCCTATTCCATTGCTGGTAGTGAGGGGAGCGTGTCAGCATCTGCTGCCTCAGGTCTAGGTGCCCCGTCTGGCCTCAGCTCTCACTCCTGTTCTCCGGCACCCCCTGGGCCAGTAACTGGCCTGAGGAGATGGTTGGATCATTCTCAACATTGTCTCAGTGTGGAAACTGAGGCAGACAGTGGTCAAACAGGACAATATGAGGTGAGCAGGGAGCAGTGCCACAGAAGTAGGGCATTCATTCAGGAAGGACACTAGGGGAAAGGGCAGCAGGTTGGGGTCACTGGTCACTGGGGAGCCCCTCGATTCTTCATGACCTCAGTCACTCTGTCTGGCCTTAGAACTGGATGCTGGAACCAACGCTAGCCACAGGAGATGGGTTGCCAGAACTAACCTTATTGACTACATTGTTGGAGGGTCCTGGAGACAAGACACAGGTATGAAGAAATAGAGCTGGGCAGGTGGCGTGCACCTGTTCAGAGCCAACTTCGGGTACCTATCAAGTTCCAGGCCCTCTTGGGCTATAGGAGATCATGTTTCAAAATCAACCAAACAGCAGCTGGAGACAATTGGCTAAGCATACTTGCTACTCTTCCAAAAGACCCATAAGTTCCTAGCACCAACATCACAACAGTTACATACCTCTCCAACTCCAAAGCGAACAGCACCCTCTTCTGGTCTCTGTGGGTATCAGCACAGTGGCACCCCAACACCTAAATAATAATAATAATAATAATAATAATAATAATAATAATAATATTGGTTTTTATTTATTTAAAAGATTTTATTTATTTATTATGTATACAACATTCTGCTTCCATGTTTATCTACACACCAGAAGAGGGCACCAGATCTCATAACAGATGGTTGTGAGCCACCATGTGGTTACTGGGAACTGAACTCAGGACCTCTGGAAGAGCAGTCGGTACTCTTAACCAGTGAGCCATCTCTCCAGCCCCTGGTTTTTATTTTTGAGACAGGGTTTCTCTGTGTAACAGTCCTGACTGTCCTGGAACTCCCTTTGTAGACCAGGCTGGCCTCAAACTCACAGAGATCTGCCTGCCTCTGCCTCCCAAGTGCTGGTATCAAAGGCATGCGCCACTACTGCCCGGCAATAATAATAAAACTTAAGCCAGGTATGGTGAACCCACCTTCAATATCAACACTCAGGAGGCAGAGGCAGGTGGATCTCTGTAGGTTCAAGGCCAGCCTGGTTTATATAGCAAGTTCCAGGACAGCCAGAATTACATAGAGGCATCCAAACAAATCTTGGGGGTGGGGATAGGAGGGGTGTGGGTGTAGGGAGGGAGAGGGAGAAGGGATTGACATGTGAAACAAGCTTGTTCCTAATTTGAACTTGTAAAAAAAAAAAAGGTAAAGAAGGAAAAAAAAACAGATCTTTAAAACAAAACGAAACAAGAATGAATATAGATCTGAGAAGGCTGTCCTCACTGAGAAGGTATTTTTTTTTTTTTTGTTTTCCCTGGCATGCCTTCCAGCCACCTGAAGAGGAGACTCTGTCCCAGGGTCCCCAGAACGAGGAAGAGCAGAAGAAGGTAGCCCTGGAAAGGAGTCTGTAAGTTCACAGCGCACTCCACTTGCTGAATTTCCATAAGATCCCTCCATGTTATGTCCCTCTGAGGGAGGCTGTGGTGATGGAGGGTCATTTAGTCCAGTAAGAACTGGCTAAACTAAGGATGTTTAACTCGGAAGTGACGGCATTCTCAAACTGCCTTGTACTTCCTAGGTTTGTCTTGAACGAGCTGGTAGAAACAGAAAAAATGTATGTGGATGACTTGGGACAGATTGTAGAGGTAGTTATCTCTTCTCCTTCCCAGCCACACCCCACCTACCCTTTCCCTCTGCCTGAGGATATTTCAAGAGATGGTATTCCTTTGTACCGCCTTCCTAGTGCCTCTGCTTCTGGACTTTGTGTTGGGGCTACCCGGGGCCTAGATTACACCCTCATAGTCGCATCTCATCCTTCCCACAGGGTTACATGGCTACTATGGCTACTCAGGGGGTTCCAGAGAGTCTTCGAGGCCGTGACAGGATTGTGTTCGGGAACATACAGCAAATTTATGAGTGGCACCGAGAGTGAGTGATGGAACTCTGAGCCAGTTGCTGGGAAATGGCGTTCCTCTAGTGATCTCTCCATCCTAGATTCTGTGTCTGAACCATGGGTTCACTGGGACTCAAGGAGGCTTTGGAGTTTTGTAGGGAGAGTGACTAGCGCGTGTAACTGGAAATCTGGCATGTGCAGCCTCAGCTTGTGGAGGCTGAGCAGTCTGAGACATGTTTGACGTGTTGCCTGTCCCCCAACTCTTCCAGCTATTTCCTGCAGGAGCTGCAGCTGTGTTTGAAAGATCCTGATTGGTTGGCTCAGCTGTTCATCAAACATGTGAGGCTGGGCCCTGGCAGGGGAAGGGCTTGGGATGGGTCTGGGCTCAGTGCTCTTGTCATCATCCTCTCCTCTACTGTCTTCAACATTATCCCTGTTAGGAACGCCGGCTGCACATGTATGTGGTCTACTGTCAGAATAAGCCCAAGTCAGAGCATGTGGTGTCAGAATTTGGGGACAGCTACTTTGAGGTCAGTGGCTGAGGTGCCTTGGGGGAGGGGATAGAATCAGCATGAACAGGCTTTTCAGGCTCCATAACTGCCCCTGTCCCTGTCTCCAGGAGCTCAGGCAGCAGCTGGGACACCGTCTGCAGCTCAATGACCTCCTCATTAAACCTGTGCAGCGAATTATGAAATACCAGCTATTGCTCAAGGTCAGGACCAACCTAGTCCCTGGGGATACAGCTGACTGGGCAGGACCACTCTTCTCCCTGGGGACACAGCTGCCTGGGAAGGGCATTTCCTCAGTCATCTTCAGGATTCTGAAGGCTCTACAGAGGTCCTCCCTCTGTCCTCGGGGTTGGATATGAGCACTACTGAGGTTCTGCTCACAGCCTCCCCAAACATCTCCTCTGTATCTCCCAGGATTTCCTCAAGTATTACAGCAGAGCTGGGATGGATACTGAAGAGCTGGAGGTAAGGTTCCAGGACAGTGTATCCGCCTTATCCTCTGGGTACCTCAGTCTCTGGGTGGTTCAGGGATGTCCGATTTTTAGGAAGAGGACCCTGGGGTGGTGGTGTGTGGAGAGGCAGCTGTCTGGCTCTCTCGAAGGAGGCCTCTGTGCCAATCAGTTTGTCCAACAATTCCCCTTCTTCACCCCTATCCCAGCAAGCTGTGGAGGTGATGTGCTTCGTACCAAAGCGTTGCGATGATATGATGTCCCTGGGGAGACTTCGGGGATTTGAGGTATGGGACTGGGGCCGGAAACCGCAGCAGTGAAGTGTTCTGGAGCTCAGGTCTTAGCACTCTGGGTCCTTATTAGGAATTACCTTCTTCTGAGCAACTCCACCAGGATTAGTTGGGGGTGGGGGAGGTAGAGGGAGGAGAGGAGAAGTTGATGCTCTTCAAACCCTTCTCGGGCTTTCTCAGAGCCATGCCCTTTGGTTTTCAGGGAAAACTGACTGCTCAGGGGAAGCTTTTGGGCCAGGACACATTCTTGGTGACAGAGCCCGAGGCTGGGGGTTTGCTCTCTTCCCGGGGTCGAGAGAGGCGCGTCTTTCTGTTTGAGCAAATCGTCATCTTCAGTGAGGCACTGGGAGGAGGAGGCCGAGGTGGCACACAGCCTGCCTATGTGTACAAGAACAGCATCAAGGTTGGGAAGGAGCAGACTGGGATGGGAAGCGGCCTGGTGATGTCTGACTCTTGGGGTTGGTGAAAGGACCTGCAGAACCTAAGGGCTGCTTCTGTTTGCAAATCCAGGTGAGCTGCCTAGGACTGGAGGGAAACCTCCAAGGCAACCCTTGCCGTTTCGCACTGACCTCTAGGGGGCCGGAAGGTGGGATCCAGCGCTATATTCTGCAGGCTTCAGACCCTGCAATCAGTCAGGCCTGGATCAAGCAAGTGGCCCAGATCCTGGAAAGCCAGCGTGACTTTCTCAATGGTGAAGCTCCCATCATCCCTCTGCATGCAGTAGGCTCCCAAAACCATCTGACCTCCTGAACCCTTTCCCCAACTAATCCCCAACCCTTGGACCTTTGTGCCTGGCTTTTCTCCATTCTCCACCCTCCCAGAATCCTCTAAATATTCCAAGCACTTTAAATTGGCTAACTTAGGAAGGGCGAGCAAATGAGAGGAAGGGAGAAGCAGAGGGCTTAATCTGTCTCTCCTGTAATACATTCCTTGTCTTCTTCCAAGCATTGCAGTCACCCATTGAGTACCAGAGACGGGAGAGCCAGACCAACAGCCTGGGTCGGGCAGGAGGGCCTGGGGTAGGGAGCCCTGGGAGGATGCGGCCTGGAGACCTGACCCAGGTCAGCATGCACACACCCACCAATGGCTCCCTCCCTTCCCTGCTGCTTTTGCCCAAAGGGGAGGTGCCCAGAGCACCCTTGCCTCTAGATATACAGGTATGAGGAATAGTTTCCTACTAGGGCAGAAAGGGGAGGGCATTTGTCATCACCCCCCCCATCTCCTTTCTTCTTCTTCCACCTTCTTTTTGTGTGACTTTCCACCCTTACTGTCTGCAGTTTAATTCCAGGGCAAAAGAAGGGTGGCCTGGCTGGGGACTTTAACTGGAAAGTGGGGGTAGGCTGGTGGCCTCTGCTCATCCTCTGGAGTAAATCTTCCTGCAGGCTCTCAGTGATATCCCCCAGACTCCTCACAACCCTCCAGCCCTTCCTGCTCTGAGCACCCCTCCCTGTCAGGCCAGGCTGGCCAAGCTGGATGAAGATGAACTGTGACTGGTGAAGGCCTCGGGAGTGGTGCCGATTCAGCCACTGAGTCCTCAAGGAATCTGAGGACAGTCCTGGCAACATGCCAGAGTCCTTTCTTCCTGGCGTGTGCGTGCCTGGTGTGTGTGCCTGTAAGGATGGGCAAGACTGGGAGAGAGGTCAACATGGAGGGGAGTGCCTAGGCCTGAAAGGACACTCTTCTCTACTCCAGGAACCAGGATAAGGATCCGGCAGCTCCACTCCACGCATGCATCCCCCTCAGATGGAGGATATGTAGGGGCTTGGAGGGAGGGCTAGGGCAGGGACTAGATAGAAATGATTGGTTGTGATTTTGTTTTCCGGTTTCCTGTGAATAAAAGTTTTGTTATATCACTAGGCTGCTGTCTTGGTGGTAGGGAGATGGAGAGGCTGCCGTGGGAATGGATTGGGGAAATAGTGGAAGCATAGAAGAGATCTTCTGGCCCTGTGAGCCGGGACTGATGACAGGAGGATAGAAGCTGTCAGTGGCAGCACACGCCTTTAATCCCAGCCCTCAGGAGGCAGAGGCAGGCAGATGTCTTTGAGTTCAAGGCCAGCCTGGTCTACATAGTGAGACCCTGTCCTCCAGCCTGGTCTACATAGTGGGAACCGGTCTCAAACAAACAACAAAACAAGAGAAGGGTAGAGATGAAAGGTGCCTCTGTCTTTGTCACCCACAGCAATCACACCATCTCTCAGTCCAGCTTATGGGAAACTCTAGAGCTATCTTAATATATTCTGCCCTTTATTCAGTCCTCTGGGTTCTAGATTTGTTTTTTGGTTTAAACTCCACCAGAATGCTCACTGCGCTGTGACTTCCTACTATCCCCCCCCAACATCTAGATACTAATGAATAAAATATGCAGGATACCTTTGCTCTGAGGCTTCCACATTCTGCTGAAGAGTGGGAAGGTGGAGTGGATCCGGAGTCTCTTTTGCCCTCTTCATGGGGGGGAGGGTATGTCCACATTGAATAGGAATGGTTTCTTTATAAGCATGGAGCGCTGAAGAGGTCTTCTCCCCTCCCAACTCCTGGCACAGCCCCTGGGACAGGGACAGCAAAGCGTACAGGGAGCCAGAGGCCATCTGGGTCCCTATGTATGTGTGTGTCCATCAGTCCCCTGGGCTCAGTCACGTGTGAGGGGCTTCCTCAGCAGACAATAGACTGCTGGGGTGGGAGGGTGTGGAGAAGCTGGAGCCTCCCCATGGGTCCCAGGTCCCTTCGGCTGACAATGAGGGGAGGTAGCTATGGGAGGGGGGACAGGACGTGAGGCCCAGATAAGATTTCTGGGGAACAATAGGAGGAATTGAAGAGGAGAGGCCCACCCTCTCTGTACCCCACCCTGGGCTTTGGGGTCAGGGACTGGGGGAACCAGAGAGTGGTGGGGGGTTGCTAACGTGTCTGAATGGAGGAGGGGATGACAGCAAACGGCAGCAATCTGGGACTTAAAACCTTTGTGTCTCTTCAGAGACCACTGGGGTGCATGAGGTGGGTGGGTGACCCTTTCGTGCCTCTGGGACTGCCCACCAGTGCCAGCTATAACAGGGCAGCCAAAGCAGATGGGGTGACTGTGTCAGCAGCAAGTGCCATGCCCTTAGTTTAAACACTGTTGAATGTCTACTTTGAGAATAAAACTGGACGTATGGAACAGTATTTCAGGGCTTTGTGGCTCCTAAGAAATAAAATAAAAATTTCACATTACTTCACCATTTCCCCTAAAACAGACCCGCTCACCCCTAGCAAAAGGTGGGTGTAGTTCTCTGTCCTTGCCCTTGCTCACTGTGTATTAGCTTATGAGACTGCCTTCTTGTTATAAAACACTTTTCTTGGGGTAAGCTTGCCATATGAGGAATGGGTAGGGAATCCCAGCTGGCAAGGGACACCATAGTCCAATGGTGGGGCCATGCCAGGGCTCAGGGAAGGACCATTGACCCAAAGAAACCAGCTGTCTTTGCAAATGAGGAAAGGGCCCCTGATGAAGAGGTGAGGATTGTTGGAAGGGGCTGTGGGTCTCTTATCTCTCTACCATTCCTCATAGCAGGCCCCCAGGCTTCCAGCAGTCAGGTCAGATCCGGCTAAGGATGTCTGAGGAGGCGCCTAACACAGGGACTTTTTCTACCCAAGCCTGACCCAGAGACGCACTCTAGAGAGTACTCCTTACAGGTCCGGATTGGACCCTACTTTATGGAGGCGGGCTCAGGACTAGCAGAGAGGGGGGCAAGGGGGTATTTAAGACCCGGAGATGCTGCAGGGGGCCAAGAACAAAATGAGCGGCCCACTGGTCTCTGGGACCTGCTCAGGTCAGGAAGAGGTTTCAGACCTTAAGTCTCCACTGAGCTCTAGGTTCAGGGAACCTCTCACCCACGCTCGGTTCCAGGAGCTTTTTGGGGGCGCAGAGGAGCCGGAGCTACCAGCCGAGCCCTGCTCACCCTGGCTGTGCCGACTGTGGAGGAGGCGAGCCTGCTCCTGTTCTGGGCTGGGGGCGTGGCACGTGCTGCAGGCACGGCTGCCCCCGCTGCGCTGGCTGCCCCATTACCGCTGGCGAGCCTGGCTGCTCGGAGATGCTGTGGCAGGAGTGACCGTGGGCATTGTGCACGTGCCCCAGGGTGAGGCCCCAGCAACACCCTGTTGGGGGTTCTAAGCTATGGGGTGGGATGGGGAGGCTTCCAGAGGAGCTGAGAATTGAGCAGGAAGGTGGTGGGTTAGTGTCCCTGCGTGGTCAGAGAGGGGGGATTTGAAGTTCTGTCTGGGAGGACTGTGGGACCCCACCATCTTCCCCACCCCCATCCCTCCTCGACTGTGCAACCCTGTGAGACATCTTGGACTCTGTTCCGCCTCAGAGAACTGGAGAGAGGCACAAAACCTGCCACCCAAGACGTGGGCAGGGATCTGTGACCTTGTCAGCCTCACGACCTCCCACTGAGGCCCATTAACCTCTCAGTTCCCTCGGGTGTCATGATTTAAAGTCTCTGATGCCAGCCCAAGAGTTTGGGAAAGGCAGTACCTGGAGGTTGTAGACCCGCGCCCCACACACAAACCTTCTCTTTGCTTCCCCCTAGGCATGGCGTTTGCCCTCCTGACCTCGGTGCCCCCGGTGTTCGGACTCTACACTTCTTTCTTTCCCGTCCTCATCTACAGTTTGCTGGGCACTGGGAGACACCTGTCCACTGGTAAGTGGCCATTCTGCCCATAACTTCTCTTTAGGATGAAAATAGTCAGGGGTTTGAGGCTTTCTTTTGGGGGGGAGGGGAGGACAGAGTCTCACTGTATAGTCTTAGCTGGTCTGAGGCTCCCCCAGAGACCAAGTGGTCTCGAACTCAGAGATCTGTCTGCTTCTTGCTGGTATTAAAGGTGTGGGCCCAAACACACCCTGGCAAAGGCTGCTATTAGAAAGCTTTGGGGCTCTATTCCTCTCTGCCACCTTCCCTCACCTGCTTGCCCCCTTTCTTAGGACATCCCCAACCTATTGCTACCCTTTTGCACAGAATTCTCTGACCCACTCTGAGGCTTGCTGGAGTGAGCTTACATGGAGCTCCTTGTCCCCTGTGAAATTTGGTTAAAACGAGCAACTCGCAGCCTTGAAGGGAAAGAGGTGAAGAGTCTGCCAGTGTGGACAATCTTTTCCTCCCTGGCCACCGGTTCCAGGCTACAACACCAGCCCATGACCCCGAGGTCTTCACGTAGGCAGCTACCTTCTAAGAGAAGGATCAGACAGCAGCACCCAAGGCTCTAGAACTGAGTCTGGGCTGCTCTGCTCCAGGCTGCACCAATGCTAACCTCTGCGTTTGGCCCATGGCTGCAGGAACTTTCGCGGTACTCAGCCTCATGACTGGCTCTGTTGTCGAGCGCCTGGTGCCCGACCCCCTCGCGGGGAACCTCAGTGGAATTGAAAGGGAGCAATTGGAAGCTCGGAGAGTAGGGGCGGCTGCGGCTGTGGCCTTCGGGAGTGGGGCGCTGATGGTAAGGGAGGAACCAGTGGGGACCCTAGGGAGGGGACCAGAACGATTGGGCCTGAGGTTGGAGGAAGGGCAGGAGCAGGGCTCGGGTTCAGGTCCGGAGTGGCGGATGTGAGGTGAGGAGGCTGGCTGGTTTGTTGGCGACCGCACCCCCCCCCCCCACACACACACACATTCTTTCTCTACAGCTGGTGATGTTCGCGCTGCAGCTTGGTGTCCTGTCCACCTTTTTATCCGAGCCTGTGGTCAAGGCGCTGACCAGCGGGGCCGCGGTGCACGTGCTGGTGTCGCAGCTGCCAAGCCTCTTTGGATTGTCTCTCCCACGCCAGATCGGCTGCTTTTCTCTCTTCAAGGTGGGAGTGGGAAAAGAGGTCTCTAGAAGTCACAGGGGAAAGGACAACTCGGAGAGGGAGGGGCGGAGGGTGGAGAGATAGCACGCAGCAGGGAAGGGAAATGTGGAATCATGGTGCTGCGTGAGGGCGCTGGGGAGGCGAGAGCCTTGCTCGGGTCTAGTGGGTTGGTGCTGAGTCCGGCGTGGTAAGTTACCACGGGCAACCAGCCTTTGCTCACGGTCCCTGCCTGCAGACGCTGGCCGCGGTGTTCATGGCACTGGCCCGGAGCAGTCCTGCAGAGCTGACCATCTCAGCGCTCAGCCTGGCGTTGCTAGTGCCGGTCAAGGAACTGAACGTGCGATTCCGGGACAGGCTACCCACTCCGATCCCAGGAGAAGTTGTCATGGTGAGGGCCACCCTAGGTCTCTGCCCCTGCTGTGTCCCCATCTTACCCATCCAGTAGGATCTAGAGGCTGTCGCCCCCTTGTGGAATGCACAGAAGTCACAAGCGAGACGCCCCGTTGACACTTGTACTTTTCCAAGCATCTTTCAGAGCAATTGGCCCACCAGAACTGCCCACCTGTACTGTCCCAGTTGCCGGGTCGAGCAGGCCCCCTTTGCACGTCTCCTTCCTTCCGATTGCATCCTTTCTTCTCTCCACGGGCCTCTCACTGTAACTCGCTGTATCTTCCTTTCATTACACACCTAGATAACTCTCTTCCTGTGTAAATACATGTCAGCGCTTTCCACGGGTAACTCAGATATGCTTAGAATGGCCCAGGTGGCTCACGTGGATCTTCTGTGTCCATCACTCCCAAAGGACTTCGTCTTAGGTCCTTTGTCTCTCGATCTTTTCAGGCAAGTACTATGCTCCTTCCCTCATCGTAGGTAAGATGTCGCTGTTAGACATCCATTCCAAACGTTCTGTGGCCCCATCAGCTGAAACCACCCAGACCCACACTGGGATTCTCTTTCTGTCTCTTCTAGACTCGGCCAACGGCCCCATCTCTTTCTAGGCCCTAGTGTGT